AACGTTCTAATACGTCATAAACACGTTAAGCCAAGATGTAACAACTTTATTACAAGTTGTAACAAGCGGAAAATAGAGACAGTTGCGGTTTGTGTTTTCAGGGAAGTAGTTCTCCTCATATATAAATCTCGGCAAATTTTCAACACTGCCGAACTGGAATTTTCGACTTTCCCTGACTACTACTGAAGCTCAGAGAAATTAGTGATCCCTTATTATTCAAATAATTGTTTCTTTAATTTTATTTTTAAATAACTGTACCCAATTGATATATTTTAAATATTATTTCTATATTATACTAGCAGTACCCGACCACGCGTTCCTGTGGCTCAGCTACAAATGTGCATTGCTATGCTCCAGCAACCTTCCTCTGTCCCCCAGTCCTCCCCACAATTCCCCCCTCCCCTGACTCCTCTTCCTCTCAATACTATCCCATCCCTTCGTCCTCCCCACCATTTCCCCTTTCCCTGTCCCCTTGTCCTCCCCACCATCCCCCACTCCACCGCTCCCTCGTCCATCCCACCATTCCCCACTCCACTGTCTCCTCGTCTTCCCCACCTTCACCCACTCCCCCATCCCCTCGTCCTCCTTACCATTCCTCTCTCCTTGTGCCCTCTTCCTCTCCACCATTCCCTGTCCCCTTGTCCTCCCCACCAATCTCCATTCCCCCGTACCTTCGTCCTCCCCACCCTTAACTGTCCCCTCATCCTCTCCACCATCCCTCACTCCCGTCACGCATCTATTCGAATGCAACTTTGTGTCAAAATTTCAAACCAATTGGTAAAGAGGTTTCGAAGATTTCCCACACATGAAAAACACAGTTTAAAAAAAAAAACTTGTTTTTCCCGTCACGTGAATCACAGATGTGACTTCTATATAGTATGTATTTAAAAACCCGCTCGCATGCGAATGGAACGTTGTGTGAAAATTTCAAAGCAATCGGTGAAGAACTTTCAGAGATTAGCGATTTTGAACAAACGAACATTTACATTTTTATTTATATAGATATATGAAACGTAGTTTTGATTTAAGTAAGAACTATAGGTTAGAGGAGCTTAATGCGTGTAAATATTACTTTGCACACCTCAGTACTCATTTGAGCTGAGTAACTTATTTGTTTATGAGTTTACATGGTAACTGTTTGGCAAGTTATTATCGATCACTTGACAAAAAATAGTAAGTTTTGATTAATTGTGTTGTAATGAATAACAACTAAATTCCAGTTGAGGCTTGCACCACGCGGTGTTGCCAGACGGCGCGTGTTTCACGAGCATATTGCCAGAGTTCATACATTATTTAATCTACTTACCTTATGTCATTTGTATATTTGTTATTAAATGTTTATATAATTTTTACTTTGGTGCTTCATGTCATCTATTCTCCATTTGCCGATCACTGGCCTAAGGCAATGAGCTGAATATACACATCTACACTGTGTTGACATAACCACTGTGAGAGAGAGAAATTATTTTCTCTATTGTGTGGGAAGAGAATATAACAGTAAGAATATTAGGGGTACGTAATCTTCCCCTCCCCCTCCAACAGATATTTGATGGGTGAAAGCGAGTCTCCCACACTGGCGACCCTGTTGTGAAGCGCCTTTGTGATGGCTAAGCACAGGAGTTCAACGTTCAAACAACATTTAACACCTTTTTTACACACCTTGTAACAACCAAAATTGCAAGTTGTAACAACGTTCTAATACGTCATAAAATCGTTATAACAAGATGTAACAACTTTATTACAAGACGTAACAAGGGAATCATAGGGACCGTTACGTCGTGTGTTTGTAGGGAATGTACCCAGATATCAGTGTCTGGCGGTGTCCAGGGGGGGGGGGGAGGGGCATTCCAGTCGTAAACTGTGGCAAGAAATGGCCGTCGTGAGGACTGGTGCTGGCTTTATCCCACTCCTAATAGGCAGTGACTCCTCTTTGGAGGCAGTGGAAACTCGCGTCACATTGGATAAATAAAAGTATAAATGGATAGATAGATGGACTGCTAGATGGATAGATAAATGGATAGATAAATGAATAGATATATTGATGGAAGGATAGATATGTGGATGGATGGGTATATGGATAAATAGATGGATAGATAAGTAAATAGATTGATGGATAGATGGACAAATGAAATAGACAGACAGACCCGGGCCATGCCAGGTACCCCCTCCCCCTAATTACATTTTAAGTGGCAGTTGCAGAGCAAACTAATCGATACATGAACATATTTGGTGACCAATGTTATAGTTCATAAAGTATTTATTGTAATCGTTATTAAACTCTTAGTTTTCAACAAAATTTCTTACGAAATGTCTTTCAAAATTGCCTACAAAGAACTTTTTTTTTTACTTTTATTTTTACATGCAAGCATTGCAATTTAAATACAATAAAAACAAGACAAGAACATAGAAAACATAACAAAACAAAACAAAACAAAACAAAACAATAAACCACTGGCCAGAAGGGCCGACAGCACAGTACAACAAATAACAAACACAATAAATGCATGAGAAACACAGCATACATCAAGACACAAAACAGAAAACAATGTCAAACAAGCAAGCACAGTAACAGTACAAAACAAAACATTTTAAAACAAAACAAACATCAAGATGTACAACATAAAACATAACAAGAAAATCACAATATACAACAAACAAAACAAAAATAACAAACAAGTACAACATGTAATGCAATAATAAAACACCAGTGCTAAGGTACATCACAGACACAAGACATGAATAAAAACACTCACACCAAACCAACTGCCTCGCAACAAACGAAGGGAGAGGCCAATATGTACAATAATAACAAACAAGCAAGCCATGCAATCAAGAAAACAAAACTGAGTACCATACACAGCAACAAACAAGCACTGGCCTGAAGGACCGAGAACAAAACACAACATAAAGGACATCATGAAATAGAACAAGAAAACGCACAGCACACAACAAGCCAAAAATAAAAACAAAAAAAATAAACAATAATAAAAACGAAAATAAAAATAAAACAAAAATAAAAACAAAAAATAAAAACAGAAACAAAAAACAACACATCCTAGCAATGCATAAGTAGAACACACAAGGCAAAGTAACAACACAAAGCAAATACAGGAATAAAAACGCCCTCACTAAATACCTGCCTCACAACAAATAAAGGAAAGGCACGGGCACAAAATTCAATAGGGCAAACAAAAGGCTATAGGGGCACACAACACTACCGTAACATGGAATCAGCTGACATATTTGCCCGGGAACTAGGCCCGGGGGAACCGCACATTGAATGCCTACCAACGCAGCCATCTCCCCCAAGAGTCTCGACCCTCCGCCGGGGGCGCCATGTCATCCAGAACCCCGGCAACAAACACCCGCAAACAGGGAACCCAGACGGTGTCACTCCGGAGGTGAGTAACCGCCACCCTACTCCACAGAACGGTAACCCGCCCACCATGAAAGTCCTCCGGCCTTTCCGACAGCAGGGTCTCGGCAACCACGGCCTCCAGTGCCCCACTTCGCAACTCCACAAGAGGGGGCCAGACAGAGGGCACCACCACAAGGGCACCGCCACGGGCACACCACCAGATGACTGCAAGGAACCAGGTCGGCGCGCATCCTTTCATAAAGTCACTACCAGACCACTCCCAGTACCAGCATCTGCACTATACCTGGCAGTGGAAGCCACCACACCACACTGCGGAGAGCCCCCCGGCGGGGAAGGAACAGAAGGCACACCCAAGACACGGGCATCAGCACCAGCAGGCACATGAACTTCCGCCACCACCAACCACGGAGACAACGACGCATCTGGAACCACGCCGTCAACACCTGAAGACCCACAGTCACTGAAGTCCCCAACATTGGCCCAGGCAATAGACGAACGCCTGGAATGTTTGGGCTCCGGCCGGATATCGTCAGAGCCGGAAGCGGATCCAGAAACACAGGCACCACTAGCCGGACGAACCGACGCAGACCGGCAGCAGCTTCTACCACAGAGGGAACCGGACTACACACAGCAGGAGGGTCCACAGCTACCCAAGTACCCAGCATAGTAGGGACCCGAGGTGAGGATGCAGGGCCAGGTTCAGCAGCCGAAGACGAGGGAGTAGACGGTGATGCCTCACAGGGAGTACCAGGAAGGCCCACGGAAGCAGCAGGGCCAGAGACTGGATCAGGAGTAACATCCGACGGCACCGCAACATCCGGAGGAGGGACTGCGACAACCGTGGGAACGTCGTGCGACGCTGGGGGAGCCTCAGCAACGAACGGGATGCTCGCATCCTCACCCCCGGATTCCTCCTCCAGAGGGAGCAGCGGGAAATCCTCTTCACGGAACCAATTCACTGGAGCAACTGGATCAGCAGTGCACCCGGCAGCCTGATGCCCCAACAAGCCACACCGGAAACAAGTACGGGGTTGCCGGGCATAAAACACCCGCACGTAGTACCCTAACAGTTGGACAGAGGACGGAATGTTCGACCTCAGTCGCGTCCCGAGGTTACGAATGTTGGTCTTCACACCCGAATACTTCCCAGATGACAGCGAGTTCATCCGCGCACTGACAACGGGGCCATACCTCTGGAAGAAACGCCGGAGGAGGGTCTCAAGAAACTCCATGGGGGCGCCATGGACACTTACATAATTCACAGCACCACTGCGGTCCGAAATGGTCACAGACCCGTTACCGTCCTGCAGCAGCAAAGTACTCCCCTCGTACCTCCGGAGAAAATCACGATACACTGCCTCACCCACAAACTTTATGATCACACAGCGAGCAGTGACCAGCTCGACACCGTCGACGTCCTGGACCGGGACTCTGAGCATGTCACTGAAGACTAAGTCCACACGAGGGTAACCTGCAAGGCCAGTAAACTCCAATCCTATGGAGCTCACCCTCACGACAGCTGGAAGATGGCCGCCCATCGTAAAAGCGCCACGTCTACTCTACCAGGAACAGCAGGGAGGGTCATCTACAAAGAACTGGAATGACAATCAAGAGTGCTTGCCTGATGCCCCACCCAAAGGCAGCTAAGATCGGAAAGGCCTTGTTGCTGATGTAGAGGGGAGTGTTGCCTCTCGCGTCCGAGTAGCGAGTCTCAATGATGACGGTAACGTAGTTCTTGTAGCTGATGAAGGAGAATCCTCCTGCCAGCACTTTTCTCAGAGCGTCGTCCACCTGCATCACCTTGGGAAAAAGTTTTCGTTATTTTTTCCTAGATTTTTATGAATAACGACACTTCAGTAATATGGAACAAAGAAATTTATTGATAAAACTCAAGAGAACTAACAAATTTTGAACTATGCACAATGCCCACCTCCATTTTATGAAATATATGCCTGGTTACAGGATTAGGATGCTTGCTAAAATAATCAACGGCTGCTTCTGTTAGCATCCAGGGATCGGTTCCCCACTTCCAGTGAGGCTGATTCACAAGGTCCTCTAAAGTCTCAAGTGGCCGCGATCTTTCCTTCACAGTGAGGTGCGCCATCAAGGACGAAGAAAACCCTGTAGTGATGATCAAGCAGAACACAAGCCACCATCCCACCAACATCTGTCGACATACATAATTAACTATTTGGGAAGGAAAAATAATACAAGATTTTTCATGTATATAATGTAATGTTAAATGTTATATAATATCATAGAGATAACAAGGATACTTATATACAAATACATACCCACAGAAAGAAGCCAAATTAGGCACCATAAACACTAACAAAATCTGGAGATGGACAGACTACAATGACATATGAACCTAACTTTACACTATTCGTAAAACTGTACTGAATTTTCTTTCTGTTTTCCATTAACATCTCCCTAGTAAGGGATAAATAAAGATCATGGAGCTGAATACTCACATTACTGATTACGTTAGCAAAGATTTGTGTCCTGGTACATGTTAATTATTTTTTTAAACTTACACACTTTAGAGTTTTAAAAAATTATTAATCTAAATTTACCAGTATTCCTGTTGCATTTCACGTTTATGTGAATGAAGTTGTTAGACATCTCTAAGAGTAGCATCGTTGTGCAACCCGTTCTCGCACTTGCTCTCTGTCAATATTGGCTTATTTAATAAGTGCATATGTAACTTACTAATTGATTGTGAATATTTTAGTTTACCTTGTAAAGCTTCACAGAAAACACCGACCTCACCTAACCTTCTTAGTATGTTAATATAAGCATCTTATTGCTTCATATTTACAATTATTACTTAACCTATCAACGGTATAGGTTAAGTAATAATTGTAATTAAGAAGCAATAAGATGCTTATATTAACATACTAAAAAGGTTAGGTGAAGTCGGTGTTTTCTATGAAGCTTTTCAAGGTAAACTAAAATATTCACAATCAATTAGTATGTCACATATGCACTTATTAAATAAGCCAATATTGACTTTAAGCAAGTGCGAGAACGGGTTGCGTTGTGACATAGTTTGTGTATACGTACGCCACGTCAGTGAGAAAGTCTTAAAAAAACTACGGGCCCTTTTAAATAGCAATGTAGCTTTACTCCTCCGATATGGAATTTTTCTTGAACATCTATTTAACAGAAGAATTCTGTTATTCTAAAGAAATATTGATATTGTTATCTTTACAACAAGCATAACATTGTAGCTTTAATATCAGGGTAAAGGTCTTTCATCCAGCTTTTCCGCCTTATTTTCCAGAACATCAACATGGTTTTACCAGGTGCTCTGGCTCTTCACCTTCACTCTACCTCAGTGTTGGATAACCTCCAGCCTGAGATGGTCATGGGGGAGATCAGTTGGGACTCCAGCTGGCTATGATTTGGTCGTTGGCAGGTGAAGATTGATAAAACTTACTAGTGTGTGTGCATGAGATTGGTGTTCACGGGACTGGTATTCATTTGATTGGTGTTAGGGGTTGGGAGGTGTTTATCGGATTAGAAAAGGCCGGAACAATTGGTGTTCCAAGGTGGCAAGTCACTAATAAGGCAGATTAAGTTAATGAGATTGGTGTTCATGGGATTGGTGTTCATAGGAATGGTATTAATATGATTGGTGTTCATGGGATTGGTGTTAGAGGGATTTTGGTGTTAATGGGACTGATATTCATGGGATGGGAGGTGTTTATCAGATTAGAAAAGGCTGGATCAATTGGTGTTCCAATAAGGCTGGATCAATTGGTGTTTCAATAAGGCTGGATCAATTGGTGTTCCAATAATGCTGGATCAATTGGTGTTCCAATAAGGCTGGATCAAGTAGGCAGATTAAGTTAATGGGAAGTGCGGCAGAGTGGAATATGTTAGGGGCAACAGGTGGTGAAGAGGTGAAGGTGAATTTGATGGGAAGAGGCATGCAGATTTTTTGTGGACGATAAGTGAGACATATTACAAGGTATGACTGGAATGAAGAAGAACAATATGAGTGGAATGACTGGATGGGGTGAATTTAGTGTTGAATAGAGTGGGCTAGTTTGAAGGTGTGAATGGTGTTGAAATAGTTAAACAGCAGCAAGTAGGCAGCGGATGAAGAAGAAAGTAGTGACCCAGAGAGAGAGTGAGTGTGTGCTGTGCCTGGATCTAACGACATTATTTTAGGATGTAGCTATGTGGCTTGGGGAAAGTGCTGGGGGTGTTGGTAGTCAGGTGTTGAGAGGCTTATTGTAATATATACATCCTACCCTGCCAGAGACGCTGATGGAGGGGTCAGAGGGCAGGTTCTGCATGAGAGCACCATAACCATACAAGAGGGAGGGGATGAGTCCTACTCGACGCCCTCCAGCCACCCACTGCCACGCCCTCTGCAGCAGCCAAAGGGTCACGCCCCACATAACCACGCTCACCAGCAGCGCCACCCACAGCTCTCCTGCACGAGGCAATTAACATAAAATGTATATCTATGTTAATAATTTGATTAAAAAGTTTAGCAGTGCTCTCTGTCTGTGTTGCCCTATTAACAACCCGTCCTCCAAAAAATAACGTCAGTTTTCACTCGTATGCACGCTGTGGCCAATAATAGACGTAAATTGAAATGAAATCGGCTCACGAAAGTGATGTACTGTCCCGTTTTCAGTGTGAGTATTCCGGCTTACTCGGAAAGGTTAGGACAGGAAACTTTCAATTAACGTTTTTCAAGACGTTTTGAAACTTTAGGAGAATTTCCTGCTTTCCTAACCTACCGGAGAACCCTTAACTTACTGTTTTGGAAAAACAAAAATTCCCAAATTTCTTTCATTTTCATATTACGTCTATTTTCGGCCATACGGGTACAACCCGTTCTCACACAAGACAGCACATATATGACTTAATGCTTAAAGTCAATATGTTGAATATGAATTAGTAAATATGTGATATATTCCCAGTTACTTTTTTTACCAAGGCCCAAACTCTTCCTCACGTACCAATTTACGTGTCACAGTACCCGTCCGTCAACACAGATAGCAGAATATTCGTGATTGGCTCAATTATAAGGAAAATTGTAGTTTTCAGGTCCCACATGGGTTGTGAAATTTACCTACTATTGTCCATGCTCTTAGAATATTACAGATCAGCTACTTCCTATTGAAGGCTCGTAATATTGTTTTGAGAAATATTAGTTGTTCTTAGTAAATTATAATAAGCACTAAAAATTATTACATAGAATAACAGTCCTTCACCAATCAATATTATATACCATAGTTTGTGCTTTACAAATCTTTAAAGGATGTTTTGTAGGAACGCTAACAGAAAACGATGTTACGTTGGAATGTCTATGGGGTAAACTACTGCAAACAGGACGGTATTGTGTCTACTATACCAACTATAGCTAGGATGGGTATATTGTCACCTACCGCCTGTTAGGTGGGAAAGGGGTCCAATACCACCCACAGGATGGGTATGAGGGTCACATCCACCCACAGGATGAGTATGGGGATCACATCCACCCACAGGAAGGGTATGGGGTCCAATACCACCCACAGGATGAGTATGGCGTCCACTACAACCCACAGGATGGGTATGGGGCTCCAACCACCCATAGAATGGGTATGGGGCTCCAACCACCCATAGAATGGGTATGGGGCTCCAACCACAAATAAAATGGGTATAGGGTCCAATAACACCCACTGGATGTGTATTGCGTCCATTGCCGCGCGTCGAGCTGAAAACCGCAGCATTCATCTCAGAACCATGCCTATTTCACACAGATTCCTTAATAAACGTAAGAGTTTTATATGTCACAAGAAAGATAGAAATATAAGCTTCATTCTAAATACCTTACCATGGGCATATTTAAATTTAAAGCGAAGATACGTGTACTTTTATAATAGCCGAGCTTTAACCCCGGACAGATTGATCGACCGAGCAACTCTCTCTCAGAACAATGTTTATTTCACGTGAATTCGTTAATAAACATATATGTTTTATATGTCTCAAGAAAGGCAGACATATAAGCTTCTCTTTAAACACTTTACCATGGACATATTTAAAGTTCTAATGAAGATACATGTATTTTAAAAATTACGGAGCTCCCACCCCATACAGACTGAACGACAGAGCAACTCTCTCAGATCAATGTTTATTTCACGTAAATTCGTTAATAAACACAAATGTTTTATGTCTTAAGCAAGATAGAAATAAGAGCTTCATTTTAAATACATTACAATAGACATATTTATAGCTCAAGTGAAGATACATATGTTTTTATAGTAGCGCTCAGTAGCTTGTCGGGCATGGAGTGCAGACGCCTACGCACTTGCCGATATATTGTATAATTAACAAAGATACGCTAATAAAGCCTAAAATCTTATATGCCTCCAGAAAGATCGAGATATGAACATTATTATGATTTCACCAAATGAAATATATCATGTTCGAGAACAAAGATATATCAATTTTAAATTAAGTTTCGACTCTTGCTCGGGCGAGAGAGAGGGAGCGACTCTCGCCCCATCTATTGGAGATTCTGTCCACTAAAGACCCAAAGCAACTCAAACCCTCCTAGCATTATTTAAGTAATGAAGTAATATGGTATATTTGCTATAATGTGGGTGCTGAATGCAGAACATGAGAAAACATATATTTACTCCAAACTAATATAATTTCATTATGAAATAAGTAAATAAGTAGCATCAAAGGAAGTCGACGGTCCAAGCGTCAATGTTGTGGAGCGACTTATCCAAGATATATCGTTGTTTGGAAAGTGTTTGTTGGCATATACAGTTGTCGCACTTCTCTGCACAAATTATCACAAATTTAAATTATAATGTTAACAAGTAGAATACGTATTTTTAATAAAATCTAACATAACTAGCCAGAAAACATTTAACATTTATTAAAAAAATATATGTTTGGAAGTTAAATCGACTTCATAGGACAATTGTTTTGTTATTTCAACCAATATATCTTTGTTATATTGTTTTTGTTATATCAACCAATCCTTGTAAAAATTTATTGTATGTATGTACCTTACCTAAATAAAATTGTATTGTATTGTATTGTATTGTATATATACTCGTTATTCGTTGACATGCGTTCGCTACTTAAACTACCATGTACTGTACTTATGTAAAATCTCCCATGTCTCTTCGCTCATCTCACCGAACCCTACAGGCTCTTTGATATATTGTTTAATTAATTGAGCTTCACAAATAAAGCTTATAATTGTATATGTTATCAAAAAGGCAGAGCTTATTTTAGTTCATTTATTATGCACCCCATACCCATCCTATGAGCGATAGTGGAGTGTTACAGAGGCACATAATGGGCTCAGGGACTGAGCCCCACAATTCATATAGCCAAGCAAGTTATAATCTTGATAAGCTAGTTACAAAAGTCAATGCACATTGTCACATCAACAATGGGCTCGAGTCCGACCACAAGTACAGTTTATAATTTAAGCAACTGACATATATGGAGGGCTAGTGTCACAATTGATATGTTTATCCTACACATAACCCCCTCTCCCCCATCCAATGGGCAGCGGTCGATAGGTTACAATCAAGTCGTTTTTTGCGTTTTATTCAGAGATTAGATCTTATTGGGTGAGGAAAGATATTCATATTTTAAAGAAGGCTTCTTGGCTGATGCTCTCCATTGATGGAAAATATACAACCTTTTGAAAATCAATGTTAGTTTGATCTAGATATTGTAATTAACAAAAGTATTTATGTCATCTGAAAGGTAGAAATATAGGCTACATTTAAAATCCTTTGTCATAAATATAACTGAAGTGAAAACGAAGATATATGCGTTTTGATAGTTACTTGATGGCTAGCTCTGAGAGTGTGAAGCCCTGCACACCAGCCAATAAATTGTATAATTAGTTTCCATATATTTTAATTAATCTTAAAAATCTATATGTCAGAAGAAAGGAAGATGTAGCCGTTAATGTGACAACATTTAAAAATATATATATCTTAAGTTAAATAAATAATACCACCTTATCGCCGGTGTCCGGACACATGAAAACTACCTAGGTATCAGTATCCAGCCAGGCGGGGATCACAGGCTGCACAATACTGATAAATTATGTAATGCACTACTTGTGGTCCATCTCGAACCCATTTATGATGTGACGACTTATAGTGAATTTTGTAACTAGCTCATCAAGATTGTAACTTGCTTAGCTAAATGAATTGTGGGGTTCGGTCCATTCATTTTCTTTCTTTATTATGCACCCCATAATACACATCCCGTGGGCGGTGGTGTAAAGGATTACAGAGGCACATAATCGGTTCAGGAACTGAACCCTCTAGTTCGTTTAGCTAAGCAAATAACAATCTTTTGACGCTAGTTACAAAATTATTAATGTACACATACTTATGCATACATGTACATATTCATACGTATACATATATACATACACATACATATTTAATCACCACCACAAATACACACATCAGTAATCTTTTGTGTCACAAGTGATTCAACAAGAGGCTCACAACAGTCACTATACAAGGCACTTTACATTTATGGCGAGTCACACAGTTACTAGTCTTGCTGCACACCCACCCAACTGGGCAGCAGCTTTACAGTCATGTGCTCCACACCCACCCAACTGGGCGGCAGCTTTACAGTCATGTGCTCCACACCCACCCAACTGGGCGGCAGCTTTACAGTCATGTGTATGCATTACCTACAGTAAGCAAATTATGGATACTTCGCTAAGATTTCGGGCAGCACATCATTATGAATGAAGTACTTACACATTTCATGGACACTATTGATGGTGTTATCTTTAAATTCCGCGATTTTTCACATTCCATTATATAATGACGCAAAGTATGCGAATAGTTCTGCTGACAGAGTTTACATTTAGTCAAATCTACATCATCAGATGTTACAAACTCCCAGAGGTACTTGTAGCTGAGCCTAAACCTAGCAGTGGTAACATCTAGAAGTCTGCTAACATTATTGGATGACCCATAGACGAGCGATTCATCAAAGTTTATACAATATTGTGAAATTGAGAGTCAGTGTAGTAACATAAATTGGTAAATCATAAATATTGTAAGTTGACCAGACCACACACTAGAAATTGAAGGGACGACGACGTTTCGGTCCGTCCTGGACCATTCTCAAGTCGATAGTGAGACTTGAGAATGGTCCAGGACGGACCGAAACGTCGTCGTCCCTTCAATTTCTAGTGTGTGGTCTGGTCAACATACTTCAGCCACGTTATTGTGACTCATCGCCTGCATAAATATTGTAAGTTAAGAATCTGATGCATGTGTGTGTGTTGGGGGGGGGGGGGGCGGGGGTTATACCCTTGGTAAGCGAGAGTGGAAAGTAACCTTAGACGTACTGCGGTCAATGTGGGGGGAAGGGGGAAGTTGTAGGGAGGGTGGGAGAGTCAAATCCACCCTCCAACATCTGGACATAGTACCA